AGGAATGTACAATAGTGGGTAAGTATGTGATCAGTTTTCTTTACCGTATATAGGAGAAAATTCGCATGGCTGCATGACATTTTCTCCAGACCGAGAAGCTACCAAGCGTATGGACGCCGACTTCCGTTCTCGGCGTCAACCGGAACATCACGTATGTGACACAACCTTTGAACAACTAGCATGGATATGATTACATGTTTCCACATCGAGCACATGCATATGCTTTGCCTGGGGTGATGAAGTGGATTCTCCTGTTGTGGCCCACAAGTACGTGTTATGGTGATTTCGTAGTTCCTGCATCTAAAGTGCACAGAAGAGATAAGCGTTTGTTGATGTGTTTCGAAAATCTGAGAAGTGATCTCCCAAGAAAATACCGTGGATTTGCGGACATCGACGATGGAAACGAACCGAATTCCTGCTGCACTTGGGACCAGTGGTAATGAGGGGTATCCTCGAAGACAAAGTAAACGAAAACTGCATCAATCCTTTCTCTGTTGCTTATATTCTATATTGCAAGCAACGGTGCACGTACTACTTGACACGGGTGCGCAACCACTTAGCAAAAGTCATCGGACTGATTGCAGCCATACAGGAGGAGAAAGAACATGTAACGTACTGTCCGTCACAGGTGTGTGACAATGTGCAGCGGCAAGGCCCTATGGACGATTACTCAGCGTTTGCTTTTGAATCTCGTCTGCGACAAATGGTTAGGAGCCCTAATTTGCCGACGTCTCAGGTGTTTCGTAGACTTGTGGAGCGCTCAATGGTAACAAGCAACGGCTCTGCTGATAAACAAAAACACCCTCCCACGATCAGAGTGTGGAATGGTGAAACCAGCGGTTTTCAATTAACACAGTGCGAAACAGTGAGAACTAAGCAACATAAGAACAAGGACATTCTTGTGGTCGATAGACCGTGTATAGTCGTTGGCATACGCGATATTGAACTTTGCGCTCGAGCGTACAGTTATCGGCAGCCACTATACAAAGAAATTGTGCTATCCAGGGATTTACGGATATACATATGCACCGGATTCCTTCTGCCAAGAAGATGGATATCTAGTTCCAGTCGCTTACAAGTGCTTTGACTTGCCATGTGAAGACATCAGTGGGTTATATCCCATAATACATACGTGGAAGTGATTTGTGTTTCACACCAGTTAGCCCATTCCCCATTCTTTTGTTTCTATAAACTGTAAGTACCAATCGCAGATGTATCGTGTCACCGAATTCGATGATGCGACTGTTGCAGTGGCCCATGCCTCTTGGATGCGCAGCGACAGAGAGGTGATGTGGCCCAATTTGTCATCAGATCAGCTGCAAAGTCTATTACTGCATAATCAGCCTGCATCACCTTCGCGAGTTTACAAGGTACGATGTCACCGAACAGTAGATAAGCAACAAGCTTCGCTTCATCGTATTCCAATGTCAGATGAATATGCTAAAGCTAAACGGCTTGAGGAAGAGCCAATGGTTTGCTCGGAAGTGCCCTCTAGTGACGCCACCTGCCCAATGAAGCATGCGATAAGACGAAAAACGTACCCTTCTTACGCATTTAATTTTGATAGAAGAAAAGCTATTTGGTATTCTTTTTTGAACGAGCTTAACAGCTATTCTTTATTCTTTCTATTTTCTACTTCTTGACTGTTGTTTAAACGCTCTACTGGGTTAGCTCGATTGGTACACACACGTCAATGTTAATGGACTCTCATCTCTGTGTCATCTTCAGCAGTGCCATTTGCAAGAACATATTCCATTGGTTTTTCTCCGCATCACTTTTCTACTTGGTTGTGTCAAGGGAATATCCAGTTGTCACACAAACATTGCACTAGTTTTTAATTTGTGAGTCTGCACTCCTTATTCTCGTTTGTTTCGTGATATTTGTTTAGAAGCTATATTTCGTTATTCTGATTGGCAAGTGCCCGTCACTGTAAATGAATGTTCGCTTTACGCTTGGCGTCCCATAATCCTATTTTTAAGGACATACGCGATTCGCTCTTGATTACACAGTTGCTTATTCGCCCGTTGCATTTGACGTTTTCCTTCTATTGGCTTGCTCAAGTGTAAGTTGGTAGCTTCCCTTCAGTTTGCCCTCAAAACTACATAAGCAAATGATTTCAGGTATACAAGTCTCGTTCCGGCTCGTCCTTGGACTTCCTGTGCGGTCGTCGGTTGAAGACGTCAGTGGCGACACCACAAATTTTAGTATCGCTTTAACTTTCTCCGACTGCGAAACGCATCTAAAACGTAGCAGTAACATCGTTCGCGCGTATTTGCATTATATTTTTTACCCACCCCTCCGCCGAGGATTGAACTATGCGGTGATCAGTTACGGAAGATCCCTTTGTCTTCCATAGAAAACAACCAATCGATGGAACGCAGTGCCACCAAGCACATATCATTATGCTTTCAAGTGATATTTCAATGCTTCATCTGCTGTTCAAAGGGGCAGTGAGCAATGATGGGCTAGTGACTGCAAACACAAGCATACTACTACACCTTACTTATGAGTATTTCAACAGTACAGGTACAACTGCTGCGTGAAATGCAGCGCATGCGTACCATGCCATGCGCATTGAGCTGACGGCCCTTCGCATTCTATCCACCACAGAGGTGTCAAACAGTAGGTGTCCTGGTTCTCTACTAATGGACACTGTTACGGACATGCAAGTGCTGAATGCTAAACTGAAAAAACCCCGAAATTATGGTCAAAATGGCAAAGTATTTATGCCGAAAGAATTTGTTCTTATGATAAACCACTAATAGAAGGTTGGAGGAAATACCCTCACCAAGGCGACGCGCAACGTCACGATAACAGCAATGACCAAGGATCTTGTACGCAAGGCTAACTGATGTGGCGCAAACGACAGACACCACCTCGCGGAAAATTTTTGCGCCAGGGCTGTCATCGGTAAGTGACGATCTGACTCCATGAATACATATTTTCAGATGCAATAATGCGCAAAGCATTCGCTGGAAGCCAGGAATCCTTTGTGATATTCATGATTCGTCGTTGGATCCAACACAGTAAGGATCGTGAAAATGCCCGCATTGATCAGGTTCCAGGTTGTTCTGTTAGTTAACAACCTGTAATGCACAATTAATGACAATATATTATCATTTGCATTTAACCTCTTGTTTCTCCACCATGGCGTGAGCGTCTGGCAACGCAAGTAGTGTTATTGCAAGTATTCAACATGGAATAAGAAGTTGCTAAAGCGCGCCCCGGTTAGCTACTTTTTCCATGCGAAGCAGACTGCAAGAAAAGAAATTTTCCCCCAACTAGGAAAACATGGAAGAAGAGGGCTTTACGAAAGAACTGGTGACGAATACAACACAGGTAAATTTCAACAACTCAACCCATTTTTGCATCTTCAAGACAAGCCCATTATCTCACCAAAAGGTTAAGGGACGTAGACTACTAAATGAATACAATGTCTAACAGCGCGCTGAAAACGTAGCGAACTCCATAAGTGGGATTAGGCGAATTACCATGGTCACCTTTCAAATTCCTTAGTAGGCATGAGGCATAAATGACTTGCGCATTCGAGACCAAACTTCAAGTTCCGTAAACCGTAGACGGCTTGAGGCACTCGATGAAAGATGCGACGCTCTTTAACACGAGGACACCAAAGTTTAACCTGATGTGATGAACTGGTCATCTGTATGATCCGATGGACTAAATGGATAGATCTGTTCCAGCGCTTTGACAACAATATACAAGAGTATCCCAGTCGTTGAAAAACTTACAAGTTATCGCCCACATGAGACAAACAGCGGCGGACATATTCCAGCCAAAGCAAGTGCCGCAAAAGCAATATGCGCACAACTGCAAATTTGCAAGCATCCAATGGTTAGTCACAGAAATTTAAACTGCGATATCGCAATCATCAAAGAGTCATGTGTGGTGAATCCAATGAAGTTCTTGAAGAGTTCGCTCAAGAATTCACCGAAAAATTTCTGACTTCAGCAAGGGTTTCAGGGATTGTAACGTTCTTAACACTGACGAAAGCGGACACTAGTACAAATCGATGCCTGGCAGGAGTCTTGTTATAAAGGTTGACAAAGGTAATAGCAGAAAGAATTTCAAAGAACGTTTTGCAGTTACGATGTGGAGGGAAGCTAAAGCCTTTGGTCGTTGGTAAGTCAGCTAGACAGTGAGTATTCAACAACCTGAGGCCGGAAAATCTTCTAGTGTGCATAATGACCGTTGTCATATTTGATGAGTGGATAAGAAAAGTCGATCGAGGAATGGTGAAGAAAAAACGATTTATTCCACTGACGGTGGGTAGTTGTCCCAGTTATATACGTGTCGAAAATCTAAAGAACATCACACTAACATTTCTGTCTCCAAATTTGACCTCAAAAATGCAACCTGTGGACCAAGGAGTCGTCAAAATATTGAAAATGCATTACCGAGCCCAGCTAACGCAATGGGTTGGAGCGAAAATAAATCCCAATGATCTGCATGCGGTAAGAACATCCACTGGTTCAGTTAACGCTCTGAATGCCATTGAACTGTTTGCCGTAAATGAGTTCAAATGTGTGCGAAACGGTTCATGAGAAAATAAATTTTATATTGTGCTACTCACAATTAGAAAGCAGGTTACGCGTTCTTGGTATAGTACCTCCGGATATAAACAACCTTTGTATCTTGACCACTATGGTCCAGTCCCTTGAGCAGGGGTCCGCTGGGGGGCGCACCACTGACGAAACTCAGAAGGTCAAAACGCCGGCCTCTGGTGCTCCTCCAGACTAGCCTAAGCCTGCTGATTGGGAGTGACGATGATGAATTAGCTGAATTATAGCAAAATCCTCACTACTACACACCAGTAATATGGAGGTTCTAATATAGATTGGATGACCTAAAAGGACTGTGTTGCTATAAAAACAAAATAATGTGACAGTATAGCAACAGTACCACTCGATTTAAATTGTAAATAGACCGCATGGAAGCGTACAGAACAAAGCAAATCACGGATTTTGTGATGAAGTAAACAATCAGACGACGATGAGATATATTGCAATACTAGACCAGAAACATATCGCAGAAAAAAGGAAAGTATCACGAAATGACTTACACAAAAGCAGGGGCTCAAAACACATGAAGGGCGCAATGAGGAAGTTTAACAGATAAGGTGAGCAACAGTGGAAAACCGCTAGTTCCCTGAAGTTTGAGTTAGCGACCGCCTTTTCTGCGACCTTTGCGTTGTTGTTGTCGTGCTGCTCCGCTGACTTGCTTGGTATTTGATGTGATCCCTTCTACCGGAGGGTTGACAGTGGTGGACGCTTTCGGACTGCGTACGCTCGCATCCCTAGAATAAGACAGTGTAGCGGAGACAATTTCAAAGTACGGTGAAAATGGCAAGAAAGAGTCTAGTCTTTCATTCCAGTTGTAGGCAGGGGACATGTACCGTTTGGTTTCAGAGAAATGGAAACAAAACTCGCCCCATATGCTCACCAAAATCTCATAAGAAAAGGAAGAGAATTGTCGGCGCAAACGATTTAAGTGTTGCGCTCCACAAAACCACAGTGATATCATACATTAAATATCCGGATTACCGTAGTACAACCACTAAAGCAGAATGCCACGTCTACCGTTAAACTAGTTTGGTTTTCGCGGTGTTCAGCTAATTCTACTGTTAACTCAGGAACAATCATGCTTCGAATATAAGGCCAGTAAGTATGGTAGAAAATTTGGCGTCAACTCAAACACAAGTAGTCATATCACTGGAAAGAGCCGGATGGCATTCGAGTGGCACATACGATGAGTATCGTTTCACCTCAAACTAGAAACTTCGTCGGCTCGTAGCGTCAACGATCGCAAGCCTAACTGGTAATCCGAGGACGCAGGTTCGGGCCTGCGTCAAGGACCGGGCAACCCTGGCAACATCCGTAGCTCATGTGCGACTGTTAATGTTGCGCGGCTGCGAAGTCTCGGTATTGTGTATCGCATACTGTTGGCAGCACAGTGCACATAGAAACTTCGAGAAGGAAGGGGCAGATAGCTAACAATGTAGTAAGCGTGGGGCGATAATCGAGGTAACAGAGAGATAAATAAGGCTATTTGTAGCAATAGATAGTAGATAGTGAGCAGCGCTATATCCCATCAAGTAACTTAGACACATAGGTCGTTACCGTCCCACGTAGCTCAGTGGTTTGAGACACAGACTGGCAACAACTGATACCCACAGCGGTTAGATGGATTGCGCACCACTGACGGTTCCCAAAAGGGACGTATCCACCAGATGTAATATTTTCATTGCGAACCGCTTATCTGTTACTCATGAAGTTTCGGCACCGAGCCAGTGGAGGTACATTAAGTTGGAGGATAATCCAGCAGACCTGGTGTCACGTGATGTTGTCATGCTTTCTCCCGAAAGACTGGTTCGCTGGGACCGCATGTTTGCAAACTCCAGTGGCCTACACCTATAAACTCTCTGTCCATCCCAGATAATATGGAATTTAAGCTCACAGCAGTTCAAGTTTTGGCGATCTCGGAGGAGTCACCACCACAATTACTGATCAGAAAGTTCTCTAACTGGTTCCAGTTGCTGAAAGCTGTGGACTGGCAGTCTCGCTTTAAGATGTCCATCAGATACCGGCTAGACAAAGTCCCAAAGTTATTTAAACCACATGGCTTTTTAAGCCTCCGCGAAGCATCTGAAGCGGAGAAGGATATCGTTCGGATCGTTCAGCGTCACTGTTACCCTCGGGAAATAAGTAGAATCAGTGGAAGTGCAGGCAACGGAGCTTATTCAGTAAGACCGATGGCGACAAGTTTGAAACGACTGTGCCCTGTTCTACTTGATGATTTACTCTGTGACAGTATCAGACTGGCGTACCCTGCCCTTGATTCTGCGGCAAAGTATTCGACAATCTTGTCAGCTAGAAATGCGTTGAAAGAAGCGAAGTTTAACTTCTACCACCTAACTGAGGGCCATTCCGGTGTCTTACAAGTGTTAGTAAGCATTCGCCGGAAATATTGGATTGCACAAGGGGCATCGGCTGTCAAGCGAGAGATGGGTAGGTGTTGGAATAGCAAAAGACGACCGGCGACTGTTGGTCAACAAATGATGTCACCGTTACCAGCAGTCAGGGTCGAGGAGGGATAGCATCCATTCAAACAAATTAGAGTAGACTAGTTTGGTCCCATACTCGTAAAACACGGCCGCTAACAAGAAAAACGATGCGGTTGTCAGTTCACGTATCTACAGAAGAAGGCGATACATCTTTAGCTCACCAATTCTCTCACCACAGACTCTTTTATTGTGTCTAATCAGGTTCATCTCGCGAAGAGGCACCCCGGGAGAAATATACAGTAAGAACAGCACCAATTTTATTGACGCCGCAGTTGAATTACGTCAGGCGTTGAAGAATCGGTTACAGGCCAACCTTAATGACAAGCTGCTAAGCAAGGGTATTCAGTGGCACTTTAATCCACCCCTTGCTAGTCACCGTGGCGGTATATGGGGAAGAATGACCAGATCAGTGAGACAAGCGTTACTTTCAATAGCGGGAGAACAGACACTCGACGATGAAACACTGTCTATATTTTTTGTCGATGCGGAGCGCATCATTAACAGCAGACCTCTTACATCGTTGACAGCAGACTCTCGTGATAACTTAGACCTTACACCAAATGATTTGTTAGTACTCAGACCAAACGCAGCAGGGTTAGCGCCAGCAACACTTTGTAACCGGTATAAGCGATGTTGGTGACAGTCGGACTACTTAACCATGTTATTTTGTAAAAGGTAAAGCACTGAATACCTCACCCTAATGGATAGTAGGGGAAGATGGTTTAAACCGCGACGCAACTTTATACCCGGAGAGGTGGACTTAGTCGTCTCGGATACCTTCAATGGTGATAGTTGGCCGTTGGCGGTGATAGAGTTGCAATACATTCAAGGACGGAAAAATAAGAACCGTAACGGTTAGAAGGTAAGGGAGGTGTATGAGCGCGATATGCATTACAGAAGACTGAATGAGAAGAGGAGTCAGTCCCGGCTGTTGTTACTACGCACGTGAGAGGTGGGTATTCGGACCCGCCGCCTCAGGGAGGACTACTGTGAGTTCAACATCCCAAAGTGGAAAAGTGCAGACGTACCGTTGTAAGGCCTGTAATTCTCCCATAGCTGACGGAGAAGGCTAAGGTGGACCAGAGTACATCGAAACCCAGAAGAAATTGCGATCGAAAATTGGTCGGAATTGCAGAAGATTCCCAAATTTCCTATCCGCTGCTGCCTTCCTAGCGCGTCCTGCTTTATGGAGGTGATTCCCTTTACCGTTTACCCAACTCCTTTCCTTGTCCCAACCGATCTTTGTTATCTGGCACTCAATGGAGATTGTGTTCTGCGTCAAATTAATTAAGTTTATTTGCACTGTAAACACGTAGATGACCTGCATTCAACCGTGCACGCATTGACCTATATTTCCAAGTTCTGAACAGCCCCACTTGTCGCTTCATGTGGATTCGCCACATGTTATCAGTTTGTGATGCGTTTTAACGCGCTCACCGTGGCATACGGATACTGGCGAGCAAGACATAGCTTACACCGCATGTGACCTGACGAGATTGCGAGCTCATGTGAGTAGAGTTCATATACAGGAAAGCACTTCGTCCGTGAGGACAATTGTGAATGTTATTCCGTCCGCAACTGAAACACTTGCAATACCATCACGGTGTGTGTGTGTGTGTGTGTGTAAGGCAATGGCCGAACGTCAAAGTTTCACAGCTACCTGCCTTTTCGACTGGTCATGTGTAAGCCAGCTAAAGCCACAGTATACTGAGACGGGCTTATTCTGCGTGAACTGGAAGCTCAGCTTGCTGGCTACCTTGAATTGTTGTCGTGATTTGATACGCCTGTGCCGGAAGCACAGATTGTTGAAGTATTGTACATTTTTGTTTTTAATTATTTGTAATAGTACCGTATTCCAGTTTTGGTTTTGTTTTGTTGATCCCGGTGGAAAGGCGTCAACTCAGAACTTCCAAGCAAATTGTCGCTGACATCACCAAAGAATGCAGTCGGTGCAGGTACGTTTAGTAGAACAACTCTGGAAGTTATTAGAGCCAGGCTCAGCCCCGGGAGACTAGGATATGCATCTTTTGTGGCAGGTAAGCATAGTACGTACGCGGTTTGGTTCACGGACATATGTGGAAATGGTTGTAAGCACGTAATCAGTAGTTCTGTCTGGGAGAATGGTCACTGAAGTCAGTCAGTGTTGAACGCAACCGGTGGATCACTAGCAATGCATTGATCAACGCTAAACAAATCGACGGCAAAGTCCGCAGTACAGTCCTGGGTTATAAACACCTGTGCAATTACAAGCAGTCAGACTGTAAGGAAATCGTCCACGCTATGAAACGTCATCTTGTGCAGAATTTCAATGGAGATGGTTAGAGGACGATTACAGTTTCGTAAACATAAGTAGACAGGTTAAAGGCACTGTTAAACAAAGACTGCTCGATAAAGTGGGATGGGAAAGAAGCTGATCGACGTTTACGAAACGCACAAACTAAACTGTCCCTCCTTGGTAAATGAACAATTGTGTCATCTAGTTAAACCATTCCTGATGTTTATAGGCTTAGGAGAGGAAAGGAGTCATAAGTGAACAGTGAGCTAGTTCGCGAGGAAGAGACTACCAGCGAAAAGCTCGGTGCGATCATCAAACGCGCATCTCTAAAAACACACAATCAATAATGCTCAACAACACGTTTAATCTCATCTGAAAGTTATGACGCTTTGCTGAAGTATAAAACAGCCAACAGGCAATGACAATGAGAAGGTAAATTGAAAAATTGCCTCATTCGATGTGGTGCGGTTTTGAGAACAAGATCAGGTACTCACATGGCCTCGTGTCCCCTAGTGTTGACCAGCTTATTCGACAAATTGGTTTTTTTTCTGATTTATTCCCAATGAATTCGTGTCAATTTGGAGTGTTTTCGATTCTACGCCAGTTGGCTTACTCAAACATTGGCTTAGAGTTGAAAGAGGGATGTGACATGAGCCTACCGTGCTTTGGTAAGCAGCGACCGACTCAAGTTGGGAAATAAGAATTGATGGGTCGTTCAGTTTTAATGCGCGATCAGCGAGCCCAGATCCTTAGGCTAATGGAGGCTATGGTTATCGACCGCGGATGACCACCGCTGTGCGTTCGAAAGCAGCTGACAGTGGCTCTGAGCCTATCGTGGTAGCTCATGTAGTATGCCACCTGTGATCATCGTTTGTTTATGTTCCAATGTTGCACGTGTTTGTGAATAATAAGAACGCACGTAATGATGGCGTCATCGCACAACCTACGTCTACTGATT